GTAGATAGATCTTGGTGCCTTTTGTTTGCCCAGAGCCAACCCCCCCAGCACCTCCGGCGCTCTTACCTCTCTGTCCTGCATTTCCCTGCCTGCTTGCAAGTGAAGTTCGTGTTTTCACACGTCTTTCTAGAGCTCTTGCGGTACAAACACTTTTTGTGTGGACTTCTGAGGCATACTTATTTCCTCCTTCTGTTCCTTCCACTTTAAAAAATCTACCATACTTAAAAAAAATGCAGAGGTCGGGGAGGTATCTGGGGGGTCAGTACAAGATAAATGTTTTGGATTCATTTATTCAGAGTTACCTTGGAGTTACCTTGACAATAGAGTCCTGTTGATTTAAACATGTCTAGACTTTGTAAAGTTTAAAGAGAACTCGCGCTTGCTACTTACTTTATTCTTCTAATTAAAAAAAAAAGTTTTGAAGTTAATTCCTTAAGGAAAATTTGCTCCTTAGAGGTCCTGTCTAATGATTTTGTAGTTGTTACAAGGAAAGGATTTGGAAACAGTGGTTTCGAAAAGAAAGTCTCCAGAGAACCCAGAGACTAATTCTGTTTACCTCCAGTAATGACAAGTAAGCACATCAACTAGGAGGAAGAAGGGCCTGGAATCCCTGGTGGCACATGGTGGAAGGGAATTGCCTGGTTTAGTCCCTCTTCTTGGTCCCCCCCCTGTAGTGTGAGCTTGGCAACCAAGGGGAAAGTTATTGGGGGACTGCTCAGAGAAGAGACTCTCCCATCCTGGGCTGGGCGTCAGAGGTGGTCATTATTGCCCATCTGAGGCTTAAAAAAAGCTAGAGAGGTAGTGGGCAGTCCTTCCCTTTCCTTGTCTTGTGAGTAGACTTGCATGGTCATGCCTTTAACCCCGGTGGGGAGGAACATGGAAGACAGCTGGTTTAGGGGCATTTCTCCTGATGTTTCTGTCTTCTGGAACTTGTGGATTCTGTACAGCAGTGATGTCCCTGAGGTACTCTGTGTTCCCACTGGAGGGTGGACTCCAGCAGTAGTCTACGTAGCTGGTTAGCTTAAGGATTTTTTTTCCCAACCTTCTAGGATGAGATAAAAGTGTTTGTTTGCCTTTTAGCTAGGATTAAAGCAATTTTAGGAATAAGATGAGTTGGACATGAGGGAAAGCAGGAGGTCTCAGCCCCAACACCTTTCCTAGGTTGGTTCACTTGCCATACTTGAAATGCACCTATTAAATACCTTCATACTTAGTGTTTAATGTACTCTTGTTATCCTGTCTTAAAACCAATTTCTTCTTTATTTTGTACACAAGAAAAGTGTTCTTTTTATTTTACACATTTTTTTATTTTATAAATTTAAGGAAGGGATTTTAAAATGTCAGTGGTAAAGTCTGTCTCCCTTTAAAGGTGCAGTTCATATATTAAAGGGCATAGTGTATTGTCATTAAATGATTCTGGGAAAAATACAGATGCAGGAGAGCAGTTACCTATTTGTAAAAGTGAGCCCATATGCTGATGGAAAACAGTAAAAACCTTAACAAAAGGTAAATCTGGGTAAAGCATACATGGTAATCTTTGTGTTATTTCTACTTTTTCAGATATTTTATGATTTGGAATTATTATCAAATAGTAAATTTTTTACAAAGTATATAGTATTTCAAAGAGGGGAGATGCATGGAGGTCCTAAGAATTGAAGGTTCATTTTTAGTTGTGGTGTACTGGGAGTGTAGCAAGAGAAGGTTAATTCAATTTTGTATTTATGTTGTCCAGACAACCTCCTGGATGCCTATATTTTGGGGGCTGGGACTCCAGGTAGGGAGCAACCTAGGAGGGAAGGGATTATGATTGGAAGCCAGGGAGAGCCTTGAGAGGCCAGTGGAGTGGTAGGAACACACGAATCACACTCTCCCTTTAAATCTAAATTTGGAGAACTGCCAGCCTGAGCCAGAGCAGAAAGTCATAGCAAAGCTATGTATAAATTAAACCTGGTTCAAGTGAAAGCAAGTACCTGGGTAGGAAAATGATTAACTCCTTGCTACCAGTAAGCAAAAGACAAGTGAGAATGAAGTCAATGGGGCAGCATGGGGGATTTTTAAACTATATAGCACATGTCCTTCCTTGGTTAAGTGATTGGGACCGAGTTGTGAAGAATGTGATTGATCCTATTATACTATCATCTGGACAGAATCCCAGACCCATAAGCCCTTAGAGAGCCAAGAGGACTATAGAGATGAACCAGGCCAGCCACCTGACCTCCATGTGAAAAGGAGGTAAAGCTCAGAGAGATTCTAGCAAAGAAATGATCAAATATATCTAGGAAGTATCTCTGCAGTGAGACGTGCTAAAAGGTCAGGTCAGCAGTGAGCCTGCATTGCATATCTCTCAGGGCCCAGGAACACCAGCTCCTCCCCTCCCCCATTTAGTAGCAAAGCAACAACAACAAAAACAACATGAGAAATCTGACAAGGTCTCCATGTGTAGTCCTTGATGGCTTGAATTTGCCATGTAATCCATGCTGGCCTTGAACTCAGGTATCTGTCAGTCTCTGCCTCACAAGTTCTGGGATTGAAGGAATGTGCCACCACACCCCACCCAGTAATTCTTACTTTGTAGCCTAGTAGCCAGTTTGTGAAGAACAGTGCTCTTTTGTCTTTGAATGGATGATACCACACCCATTCAAGATATTCTTTAACAGTAAGAATATCTCTTCATTCTCTTCATCTGTCCTCAGTGTGTGTGTGTGTGTGTGTGTTTGTGTGTGTGTGTGTGTGTGTATGTGTGTGTGTGCTCACGTGTGCGCATGCATATTCATGAGTGCCAATGCCAAAAGTCAACCTCCAACATTGTTCCTTAAGAGTTATACACCATTTCTGAGACAAGGCTTCTTCCTGGGATCTGGGGCTTACAGTTAAGTTAGGCTAGCTGTTAAGTAAGCCCCAAAGATCCATCTGTCTCCATTTCCCCATGCTGGCTGGGAATACAAGCCTCTGCCACCATACCTTTTCTTTCTTTTTTTTTTTTTTTCTTTTAACTTGGGTGCTGAACTCAGGTCTTCAAGCTCTATGGTAAGCACTGAACCAGCTGAACCATCTCCCTGGCTCCTCTCCCTTTCCTTCTAATCATCAGCAAAGTTATTCTCCCCAGAGCTCCATCCACTTTGGAATTCTTGAAGGAGGCTTTGAATTTATGGTCTATTAAGTAGGTTCTCTGGTATTTATTAAGGTATATGTTCTTCTAGTCTCTCAACTGTTGGTTCCCCATCTTCACCCTCTTTGCTTGTATTTCCTTCCATCAGAGGCCCTTTCCTGTCCCTGTTTTCTGTTCTTTGATAGAAATGAAACACATCCATACTTCCAGCTTGCTTAGCCAGGGATGTGAAGTTTCAACAGGGGTTTTTTAATAACAAGAAAACCCATCAAACAGTTTTAACTCAGTACTTGCTTTTTCTCCTGCTTTCAGAGAAGGAGGCTATGTCATCGTTCTTTGGAAATGATGGGTGTCTCGAGGAGGGGGTCATGGGATCAGTTAAATCCAAGTTTCCCAACAAGAGACCTGGGGAGGCCATTCTCAGAAGCTATCTTTCATCATCTCATGGGCAGCCTCAGGACACACGACTTTTGGAGCCCAGTGGTTACTAATTGGAGTAGGTCAGAACCCATGACCGTTCTGCTTCAAGGGCTCTAGGAATGCCTGGATTTTTGTTTTGCTGGTTTCAGTAGGCAATTCAACTAAGAAATTTAATGTTTGTTAATCAAAGATTAATCATAAAAAACCCCACAGATCTAGAACCTCATGTAAACTTGTCATCATTATTATTCAGTCTTGAAAGTGTTTAATGTAAGTCATCGGACCCTCAGAAATGTAGACACATTCTTCCCTTCCTGCATTTTATCCACTTGTCCAGCATCTCCCATTCTCTCCTCCCCAGGTCATAGCAGGTGTCTTTCCAGAGAGGCAGAATGTGACAAGGTGCCGTTTTTCTTTTCATGTGGGCAAAGCCACCACAGTTCCAAAGGAACCAGTACAAACTAGAAAGCTTGACAACCATGAAAAACTTGGATAATACAGAATTTTGCAGTCACAGTCTGACTAAATGGTACTGTGTATTGCTTTACAAATAGTTATTGACATATAATGGATGCCTGCCATAGGGAATATATGATTTTTTTGAGACAGGGCTTCTCTGTATGTAGTCCTGGCTTCCTGGAACTTGCTCTGTAGACCAGGCTTGCCTTGAACTCACAGAGATCCACCTGTCTCTTCCTCCCGAGTGCTGTGATTTAAGGCGTCCACTGCCACCTCCTGGTGGAATATATGATTCTTAAAATAACTCTGTATAAGGAGATTATCTCTGTTTTATAAATGAAGAAGGCAAGGCCTAGAGAGTGCTGTCATTTGGGTATGACTTGTGTTAGTTAAGGGCTCATAGGTTGGCAGTTTGACTCCCAGCATAGTGATGTTAGATGTCGAGACTTAAATGAAGTAAGGCCCATTGATCATCAGGTCACAACAGGCCCTTCACTTGGAAGGGATTAAGGTAGTTCTTTTGGGAACCCTTGTTAGTTCTTGAGAAGATCGTTATGAAACAGCAAGACTGGCCCTTGTCTGTCTTACATGGGATGTCTCCCTTGGCAACCTTATGCTTTGATGCTGTTGCCATTGTGTGATGTAATGAAGGAGCCCTCATAAGAGTCAATGCTATGCTATTTCAACTTTAAGTATCCTGAACTGTGAGCTAAACAGACCCGTTTTAATTTACAAGTTACCTAGCTTCAGATACTTTGTGATAACCATAGAAAATAGAGTGTTTCAAAGTTGATCCCAAAGTATTCTAGGAAATACAGATACTGGTAACTATTTCAGTAAGGAAAGGGAATGAATAGAATAACAACATGAATGAAGTATTTTCCACATGTCTTATCACTTAAAAAAAGGGGGAGACTCTGCATGTTAGATGTGATGTCATCTTCATTTATTAGTTGGGGGCTCTGAGGCCAGGAAAGAAGAAATGGGTTGCTCAGCCTTGGAGCCAGTAGTA